CTGCTTTTGTTATTAGGGTTATGCCTGCCTGATGGAATGACTCTGGGAATATTCTTTCTTTTTCCTTAATAATTTAAGTAGAATTGGTGATAATTGAATTTCTCGTAGAATTCATCTGTGAGCCAGAATTTTTTATCAGAGAGTCTGTTGTTGTTGTTATATCCCATCGAGTTGACCACATCTCATACCACAACAGCTCTGAACCCTGCTCTATCTTGAGCAAATATTACTATCTCTGACACACCTACCCTCATTACCCCACTTATGTCAATCCATCTCATCCAGGGACTTCCTCTCTTGCACTGTCCCTTGACCCTTCTAAGCATGATATCCTTTTTCAAAGACTGGTCTCTTCTGGCTGTATGCCTAAAGTATATCAGCCAGAACTTGAAAATCCTTGTTTCTAAGTAGCATCTTGGTTTCATCCTCTTTAGGGCAGACCTATTAGTTCTGTTTGCAGTGTATGTTCAAGACTCTTCTCTAGCACCACAACTCAAAGGCATTAATTTTCCTTCTGTCATCCATGATCATTGTCCAGCTTTCTAATGCGTACTAAGCAGTTGAGAAGACTGTGACCTGGATTAGGCTCACCCTGGTCTCTAGACTTACATCCTTGCTCTTGAGCACACTGGAGAAGTTCCTGACAGATTTACCGAATGCATTTTGCCTTTTGATTTCCTGTCTGTGTTATTAGTGTTGATTGTGGTGTGGAACTGAACAATCTGAAATTGTTAACAATCTGTCTCTTCTCCATTTATCATGCTGCCAACTTGATGTTGAGCTTCAGTCCATATTGCAGACTACAGTCTTTGTCCCTCTACAGCTTCAGATCCTCCTCAGTTCCAACAAGCAAGGCTGTTTCATCTGCATAATGCAGATTGTTGATGAGTCTTTCTTCAGTCCACATTCCTCCTAAAATCCTGTCTCCTGGATGATATTTTCTGCATACAGTTTGAAATGGTATGGAGATGGGGCACATCCCTGACAAACTCCTTTCCTGATTTTGAATGCAGTGTTTCCTTGACTGCCTCCTGGTTTTGCATGAGTACACTCAAATGTTCTGGGATTCCCATTCTTAAAGATAGCTATAGTTTGTTGTGATCCACGCAGTCAGATACCTTTGCATATGCATAGTCACCTAATTTCTTCTTTGATGATGGGTCTTTCAGGTGTTCTACTTCTGTGAATTTAGGTAGGGTGTGAATTCCTAGGAATTTGTCCATTTCTTCTAGGTTTTCAAATTTCTCAGAGTAGGGCCTTCTATATTTCATTAGTAACATTTTAATCTTGTTATATTGTGATATTACCTCTTCAATTTCATATTTGAGTTATTTGTATCTTCTCTTTCTTTTCTTAAATTTGCCAGTGGTTTGTCTTTTATATTGATCTTTCAGAAGAATCAGCTCCTGGTCTTCAATTGTTTGTTTTCTGTCCCACTAATTTTAGCCTTTTTCCTTAGAAAGGAAGTTATCCTTTCTTCTAGATTCTGTGAGATTAGCTTGTTCTTTTTGCTGTAGGTGTTATTTTGTTCCTTTATTCTTTTTATGTTTACTTATTGCTATGAACTGTCCCCTGAGAATTGCCCTAGCTGTATCCCAGAGGTTTTGATATGTTCTATTTTCATTCATTTTGAGGAACTTTTTATTTCACTTTTTGGTTCTTCTATAACCAAGTAGTGTTCAGCAGGGTGTTACTTAGCTTCCGCGTGTGTGGTGTTTTTACTTTTTATCCTCCTGTTAATTTCTAGTTTAATGGCATTATGTTCTGGAAAGATACTTTATTTCATTGTTTTATTTATTGAAGCTTGTTTTGTGCTAATATATATGCCAGTTATGAAGGATGTACCATGTGCACTTGAGAAGAATGTAAATTGAATTTTAGTTTGGTGAAGTACCCTAAATAATGTGTACAATGTCCAGTTGGCTGATCATATAGTTTAGTTCTTCTGCATCTCCTTAGAGTTGACCTGTCATTTGGTCAGAGGTGATGTGTTAAAGTCTCCTGCTACTGTTGTGGTGCTATTTCTTCAATTCTGTTAACTGTTGTTTTACGTATTTTATAGATCTGTGATTTGGTGTGTAGATATTTACAAAGGTTATGTCTTGATCTATTGTGTCTTTATTCATTATATTATGCCCTTTGTTATCTTTTATGGTAGTTTTCATCCTGAAGTCTATTTTATGAGATTAGTGTTTCCACTCCAGCTTTCTTAGGGATGCCATTTGCTTGGTATATTGTTTTACACCTTTTGATTTTCAGTCTATCTTTCTCCTTGGGGCTTTGTGTCTGTTAGGCAGCATATTGATGGGCTTTGTTTTCATAGCGATTCTACTACTGTTTTCCTTAATCTGTGCGTTTAAGCCATTCACATTATTTTGACTATTGACAGGCCTGGTTTTTTCGTTGTTGTTTTTCTGTTTTCCTTCCTCTGTCTGGCTGTTGCTTTGGTCTGTCCAGTTTCCTTTGCAGTCTCTGTTTGAAGGACTTCTCTTGGAATTTCTTGAAGAGTTGGTCTTGTTTTCACAAATTCCTAAAGTCCCTGCTTTTCTGTAAATGACCTAATTTCTATTTCATATTTGGTGGATACAGGATTCTCAGCTAGCAGTTGTTTTTATACTTCTGTGTATGCTAGCTCATTGTCTTCTTGCTCGCATAGTTCCTGCTGAGAAGTCAGGGTCATTACAAAGGCTGAAGAAGAAGAAAAGACCAAGATGGATGTCAGATGAGACTCTGAGTATTGCATTAGAACGCCGAGAAGCCAAAGCTAAAGGAAGAAATCAAAGAGCTGAACAGAAAATTTTAAAAGGCAGCTCGCGACAACAAAGCAAGATACTATAATGAAATGTGCAGAGAGCTGGAGTCAGAAAATCAAAAGGGCCGGACTCGCTCAGCGTTTCCTAAGCTAAAGAAGTTGAAAAACAAATTTAAGCCACGGGTGGCAGTACTTAAAGATAGTTTTGGTAGAATGTTAAATGATCCAGGAAGTATCAAAAGAAGATGGAAGGAGTACACAGGAGTCACTGTATCAGAAGGAATTGGCTGACATGGAGGAATTTCATGAAATAACATATGAGCAAGAGCCTATGGTGATGAAGGAGGAAGTTCAAGTTGCTATGAAGGAATTGGCAAAAAACAAGGCTCCAGGAGTTGACAGTATACCAATTGATTTATTTTAACGAACAGACGCTACCCTGGATGTGCTAAGTTGTGCCAGGAAATCTGGAGGACAGCCAGCTGGCCAGCTGACTGGAAGAGATTGATAATTTGTTTCTATTCCAAAGAAAGGTGACCCAACAGAGTGTGGAAATTATCAAACAATATCATTGATATCACATGCCAGCAAGATTCTGCTGAAAATTATCCAAAAACGTTTGGAATACTATGTCAACAGAGAACTGCCAGATGTATAGACTGGATTTAGAAGAGGTCGTGGTACTAGGGATATGATAGCAATGTTAGATGGATCTTGGCAGAAAGTAGATAATACCAGAAGAATGTCTTATCTGTGTTTCATTGACTATGCAAAGGCTTTTGACTGTGTGGATCACAATAAGCTATGGCAGACTCTGAGAAGAATGGGAATCCCAGAACATTTGATTGTGCTAATACAAAACCTATACTTGGACCAAGAGACAGTCGTCAGAACAGAGCAGGGAGACACTGGATGGTTAAAAATCAAGAAAGGGGTCCATCAGGGATGTATTTTGTCTCCATACCTTTTCAATCTGTATGCAGAACAGATCATCCAAGACGCTGGGCTGTACGAGGAGGAATGTGGCATCAGGATTGGTGGAAGAATCATCATCAGCAACCTACTTTATGCAGATGGCACAACCCTGATTGCTGAAAACTGAGGAGGACCTGAAGCGCTTGCTGCAGAAGGTCAAGGACTGCAGTTTTCAATATGGATTGAAGCTCAACATCAAGATAACAAAGATTCTCACCACTGGGCCAATTGGCAGCATCAATATGGATGGTGAAGAGATTGAGATAGTTAACAGTTTTAGTTTACTTGGAACACTCTTGGTAACAGCCAGGAAATCTGGAGATGAATAGCATTGGGAAAGTCAGCTGTGAGGGACCTCTCAAGTGTACTGAAGAGCAATGACGTCAGGCTGGAGACTAAGGTGCACCTGATCCAGGCTATAGGCTTTGCAACTACGTGCTATGCATCAGAGGGCTGGACAGCCAATAGGGATGGTAGAAAGAGAACTGATGCCTTTAAGATGTGGTGCTGGAGAAGAGTTGAATATACCATGGACTGCTAAGAGAACAAACAGGTTTTTCCTTGAGAGAGTGAAGCCAGAATGCTCCTTGGAGTCAAGGATTCTGAAGCTTCGTCTGACATACTTTGGGCATGTTGCAAGGAGGGGCGGTCCTTGGAGAGGGCTATCATGTTTGGGAGAGTGGAGGGACGCCGCAGGCGAGGAAGACCTTTGATGAGATGGATCAATTCTGTGAGAGGTGGCAATGCGTGTGTTTGAGATGGCGAGGTTAGCACAGGATAGAATGACATTTAGGGCTCTTGTATATAGGGTAGCTATGAGTTGCAAGTGACTCGATGGCACATAACAACAACAATAAGGGTTTCATATGATCTATGAGCATATTAGATTTTGGACCCAGTAAAGATTGTTGTTGGGATGAGGAGAAAAAGGTGCAGGAGCATGGCAGACATGTCTGACCTCTTGGGAATTGGTCTTGTGTTGCTGATACTGTTAACAGGGACAGCTCCCCTTGGTGGAGTTTGTAAAGGTCAGATATGATCAACCTTGTGCTGCCCTTAACTTTTATTGAACCATAGTCTCAGTATTTTCTACAGTGAAATCAGGTGTTATGTCCTGTGTGCTGGCTAGAGACCTAAAGTACTCTCTATCTGTCCTCTTGGATGGGATAGTCATGAGAGTCATGGGGTTGAGGGGTGGAGTACAGAGGACAGATTCAGGACAGTGGTGTCAGTGTGTTATATAATCTCTTCTATGAAATCTACTTTTCTTCAGATGATCTGAACATCGGTGGAATTATTGGGGGTGTCTTGGTTGTCCTTGCAGTCCTGGCCCTGATAACAGTGGGTATCTGCTGTGCATACAGACGTGGTTACTTCATCAACAACAAACTGGATGGAGAAAGGTAGCCTCCCATACAAGGATAAATCAGAATTCACTGGTGTTAATATGACACTTGGTGGTCACAGAACTTATTTTTCTATTTTCATAGCTACAAGAACCACGGGAAGCCTGATGTTAACATCATCAGGACAGATGAGGTAAGAACAGAACATAGTTTAGGACATCTGGAAACCCAGGTGTGCCCAGCAAAGAAAATGGTATCTATACTCGCATACCAAGCTGGCCTTCATAGGACTCTTACACATTTGAAAAAGATTTTCAAGTTATATTGCAGACCCTGTGCTCTTTATCCATGTGGTTAGTCCTCGCTTGTAAGCACTAGTTGTTGTTAAGAATGATTATTTTGCTGAATTTCCGTTTTGCTCTAGGTGTCCTTCCCAAGAAATGGGGGAGTCAGTTAGATTGGACTGTGAACTTTGCTTTCCCATTGCCCCACGAGGATCAGTGGATGGGTAGAGGGTGATGCTGTCATTCTGTTAGAGGATGGTAATGACATAAGTTTGTGTTGGCTTTGCAGGGTGACTTCCGACACAAGTCTTCATTTGTGATCTAAAATCTGACAGTATGGCCAAGAGAGCACATGCAAATACCTCTACTAAAAACTCCCATTAAAGCAACTTGTGAGCAAAGTGCACTTGGAAAGAGCTGAGCACTCATGTCGAAGCTGCCGCTGCTGCTTTTTCCCTTGCCAAAGGTGACCACTACTCCTTTTTTTTTACTTTAAAACAAGCCCCATAAATAAAAGAATTTTCAAGATGGTTATAGTAATCACAAGGGAAAAAACTAAATTAGCTCCAAGTCTGATTCCTCTGTGAGTAAGTAAGCTGCTGCTCACATTAACTGTCCTATGCTTGGGCCCTGAGGGCCTGTGCAGCCAACTTGTCCCTCCCCTCATATGACCGCCACGTGCAGAGATAACAGGTTTTCTTCCAGGCACGGTCCCTTTGGCGACAGCCTGGGCCCTTCCAGGAAATGCTGCAGCTGCAGACCTGGAGTCAGACTAACCCAGAGGAGGTTTTAATACACAACTAACTAGTTTTAAAGCACTATTCACCACTTTTGTTAAAATCTTTCATCAGTGTTGTAATGTCCATCTTCAAGAATTTTTTTCATCAGCATTTGGTAAAATGATCAAAATCAGGAGGCAAATTACTCAGTGGAAAAGGGGTCTTCTTACCTGCAAGAGACCTGCTTCTCCACAGAGGGTTTCAGTATTTGAGAAAAAAAAAATCTTTAATTTAAGCCCAATCTGAAATGGTACTGAAATAATGTTTTGTTTTTTCTATGTGTCTTATTTTATAAAATTTTAAATTCTAAATTTTTGCTAAAGATGTATTTTGATTATTGAGAAGAAAATTTCTATGTAAACTGTAAATATGTTGTCATACAATGTTAAATAACCTATTTTTTTAAAACTGCAAGAGTTTCAAGCTACTAGAGTTACATTGGAAAATGTAATTATAGAGTATTTTACCCAAGGAATCTCTCAAGAACATTCCTTCATCCGTTGTTTTAGCATTTTTGCCGAGAGAACTATACATCAGGCGATTGCAGCTTAGGAAACCTTTTGACAGTTCAAATAAGGAATGTTGAAATCTATACCATCTCTCCCAAAAGAAACAGAAAGAGCTCTCAGGTTAGCTTTGAATCACCGCTTCCTTAGATTACTAATACCCTGTGCCCAAAGACCATTAGAAGCTCTTAGGTGTATGTGTCCAAACTACTTCAGTGGCTCCGAGGTGGAGTTATGTACCATCCCTATATAGTGGTATTGGACATTTACTTCAAGAGCCATAAGGCTGCGTCCTGATTAGCTTTAATACTGTGTCTCATATCTATGTGCCATGCCAGTCACCCTAGGAGAGCTGTTGGCGGCACGCCTCAGGAAAGCCGTGTGGTTTTTCAGGCGACACCCCAGCCTTCACTTCTCTGATGCCACTGTCAGAGTATAGCTTTCTGGTTGTGAATGGCTCACAAAATAAGCAGCTACTGTGCTTAGTTTTTTTTTAAGCCACTTTAAATATCTGATTATTTTATAAGACTAGATAGGCTACTGACAATTTTGAAATAAAATGTGGAGTTAATTCAACTACGATGCAATTTTTTACAAATGAAATCATTTATCACTGTTGAAGGAAAGCACTCAAATACTGTCTGATTTCATAATAAGGAATGAGTATGCATATGAATATGGCTGTGGTAGTAGCCAGTCCTACGTTGGGAAGAACATTATAGAGTAGCCAGGGTGAAAAGCCTGACGGCAAGCAAAGTCAAATGCCTGAATTGAGTTTACAAAATCTGATTTTTTATTTTTACCTGCCTAAGACACTGCTTAGTTTGTGGGGATATTAGAAACACCACTCACATTGTTTGTGAAAAGCAGATGCTTGGAGGCTCAAGTAAAGCATTGCTTTGTTAGGTTATGATGTGATATGACTTGAATCAATTTCTCAAAGAGAGCCTCTAACTCTTGTGTGTACTTAAAGGATGGCTTGTACATAGATGAAAGTAATCATCTTGTGATTACACTTTCAGTGTTAAAATTGATAGTGCTTTGACAGTTATTATTTGTTTTAAATTGAATACTTTTAAATTATGTGAAATATTTTTGCCATAGGTATTTGGCAGGAGCAATGGGAAACATTTAGTATTGCTTAATGGTACCTACCTTTTGCATTTCTTTATTGAAAGCTTAGAATTTTGACTATCTCTTCATCATAATCACCTCTTGGTAGAAAAGGATGCTTCCCCTCCTCTTGGGAACTCACTCCAGCCTTCATCTGAATTGTATAAAGTGTTACTTATTGCCTTCCCTTTTCTACCCTAGTACCATGTGTAATTGGGTTTGACAAAGTAGAGGCAAAGTGAATGTGGAGTCTGGGGAACAGTTGCCTATTACTGAAAAATATAGACAGAAAAGGACAATTGTATTTTAAAGAATGTGACTAACGATTTAAGTTGCCTATATGAGGCTGTTATTCTGGACTTTGATGTATACAAATTACAAATTTATACTAACATACCTGTAATTTGATTTTTTGTTAAAATTTGTTGATAAAAGCTTTAAAAAAAACACAACCCAGAACCAAACACCATTGTAGCCTCCTTTCTTTTTTCTCATTTGTTCTTTCTTTGGGTTGGTCTAGCCTCATGTGTGGAGAGACTACTACATGATAAACCCAGGAGACCATGCTCTAGTTCCTGAAGAGCAGGTCTCCCGGTGGCTGTCAGTGACAAGTCCAGGGTTACCAGTGCATACATGAGAGTGGCTAGGTGGAACGTGATGTTACTCCATTTCTCCAATGTGGAAAAATTACATTTATCTATAAAAAGAGTAATTATAGTTCTACTTCTGTAATACTGGAATTAAAAAGGAACTAATTTCTGGTTCTTGAAAAAACCATAAACACACAAGATTGAGGTTAAAAATTACAGCTTGCTTGGTACCATAATCAACACTCTTGGCACCGGCAGTCAGGAAATCAAAAGATAAATTGCACTGGGAAAATTTGCTGTCAGGGACCTCTCAAGAAGCGAAGCAATGATGTCTGTCTAGAGACCAAGATGTGCTCAGGCCATAGTCTTCACAATTACTTGCTATGTATCAGAGAGCTGGACAATGACTACGGATGGCAGAAGAATTGATGCCTTTGAGTTGTGCTGGAGAAGAATCTTGAACATACCATGGACTGCCAAGAAAACAAGTAAGTCTGTCTTGAAGAGGGTGAAACCAAGTTTCTCGTTGAAGGCTAGAGTTTTGAAGCTCCATCTCACATACTTTGGGCACATGGCCAGGTGGGGCCAGTCCGTACAGAAAGACATCATGCTCAGAAGGGCGGAAGGACAGCACAGGAGAGGAAGACCCTGGATGAGATGAACTGATACAGTGAAAGTCAACAGAGACTGGCTCAGGACAAGATAGACTTCAGAGTTTTTGTACATACGGTTGCTATAAGTTGCGGGAGATTCAATGGCACATAACAACAGCAACAACAAATGGAGCCAATAGAGGAGGCTAAACATGTCCTTCTACATGGCAGCAGTCCCTGACAAACTGCCTGCACAAGCCAGTCCTTAGTGCTATTCTGGATGAGAGAGATGAAACGTTTTTTAATAAGTAAGAATTGTACTTATGTATCAACAAGGCTATAGAATAAGGAATATAGCTGATAGCATCTGACTGTACGGATCACAACAAATTATGGCTAATATTCAGAAGGGGAACCTCAGAACACTTAATTGTGCTTATGTCAAATCCATACTTAGACAAGAAGCAGTTGTCCTAATACAACACGGAAACACTGCATGGTTTAAAATCAGGAAAGATGTGCATCAAGGTTGTATCTTATCTCCATACCTATTAATCTGTATGCTGAGCAAATAATTCAATGAGCTGGACTCTGAAGAAGAATATAGCATTAGGATTCTAGAAAGATTTAACAACCCTCATCATGCAGATGAAACAGCTTTGCTTACACAAAGTGAAAATGATATAAACACCACAGAAAATCAAAGCTTACAGCTTCAGTATGAATTACATCTCAATATCAAGAAAACAGAAGTCCTTACCATTGGACCAACAGGCAACATCATGATAGATAAGAAAGGTTGACGCTGTCAAGGATTTCATTTTACTCAGATGTACAATCAATACTCAAGATAGTCAGGAGATTAGTATTGCATTAGGAAAATCTGTCAAGGACCTCTTTTTTATTTTTTAATTAATTTTAATGAAAGTTTATAGACTTAGGGTTTCCAGTCATTCATTGTTGCACTTTTCCCCCTGCCCACTTCCTTGCCCCCAAGTCCACGCTGCTGTGCTGCCTTCATTCTGGACTTCTGTAATTACAAGAATACCCAATCATATCTCTCCCTCATCTGTTTCAATGCAGTATACATCATTCCTCCCCTCCTTTTCTGTCTTCCCTCAACCCCAATGTCAGTCCTGTTTTACAACAGTGGCCCTGGCTGAGATATTTCACTCAGAATAATGTCATCCAGGGTCATCCATTTTGCATAATATTTCATGAGTTCATTGTTTTTCAAGGCTGCATAGTATTCCATTGTGTAAAGTCAAGGACCTCTTTACAGTGCTGAAGAGCAACAGCTTAAAGATAAGGTGCAACTGATTTAAGCCATGATATTTTGAAATGTTTCATATGCATCTGACGGACAGAATGACCACCAGAAGAACTGATGCTTTTGAATTGTGATGTTGGCAGAGTACTGAACAGAAAGACTATGAATTGCCAAGAGGCAGCAAATCTGTCTTGGAGGAACTGTAATCAGGCAAGGCATAGAGACAAGGATGGTGAAATTTGGTCTCATAGATGTTGATCTTGTTGTCAGGAAGATGTTATGCTGGGGAACGTGGAAGGACCACAGAGAGAATGAAGAAGACCCCTCAATGAGATTAACTGGCACACCATGTAGCAGTGGGCTAGAGCATGGACAGGTAAGGGTGAGCTCTGATGTTCAGTGTCAACGTGATGTCAGTGTGCTCAGCTGTACCCACTAGCAGCAAAAAGGAATAAAGATGTCAGATGTTAAAAAAAAAAAAGAAAAAGAAGATGATGTCAGATGTTGAGAGGTGAACAACTTTATCTGGGAACCAAAGCAATAAATGGACAGGGGACACAAATGGAATATTCCCCCCACCATAGATTTAGTCTTACTCATCATAAATATTTTATGTAAAATTATCTAATTTTCAAAGTCTTGTTTAAAAAAATAGAAAAATGTCAATAAATAATGGAATTTTTTTATTAATGGAACACTTTATCAGAATTTAATCAAATGGAAAAAAATTATAATATAAGAAAAATTCAGGCTTAACAAAATCAAAATCTGACAACTGTCTATTGTTTTACAATCTTTTAAACTATGTTTCATAATGAGAACTATAAAAGATTTGCCAGCTAAAAAGGTGGTAAATAATAAAAGTGCTGGGATCATAAAGAAAAGCTTTGGTATTCCAAGATGAATCCCCGAGGTGTGATGGAAGCAAGCCAGCCACATTTCCACACTTATGGGGCCAGGTTTCCCTAAGTGCCTTTCCTCCCAGCCAGTTCTTGGAATGCCTGGTTAGCTGGCTGTCCCTCCCCAGCCAGTTCTTTGGAATGCCCTGTTTCGTTGGCCGTCCCTTCTTGGCCAGTTCTTGGAATGCCCTGTTTAGTTAGCTGTTTGGAGGGGGGGCTTTCGGAGGGATCTCCTACTGGGGGCTGGATTGTCTTTATTCCTGGCTGGAGACTTCACATTCCATTGCTGAAGCTGGGGAGACCTAAGGAAGGAAAAGATAACCATCAGTTTGGAATAAAGTTATCCAGGGGAAAAAAATTTCCCTCAAAATGAACTACTAGTAAACTTACGGCTTGTCAGGCAATGATAAACATAGTATGTCAGTTTCTTGACTCTGGTCTTCACTTTTCTCTGAAAAGGGGTAAAAAGCAAATTCAGTTTCCCCCAACTCCTCAAATGGGCAATGTGCCAAATCAGAAGAGGCTCGGGAAAACTTGCCTTTGTGTGAGGAGGGAGTCCATGGTATGCTGATGTAGCTGACCCCTGCGCCAAAGGTGATGTCATTGATGGTCCCTGGGTAAAGGGGAAGAGAACACGGATTATAAAAAGCTGGTTAGTAACATAATGTTGCCTGAGCAAGGCAGTTAAGCGTCTGCTGGTTCCCATTCTTAAAGTCTCTCCACCCTCTGTCAGTACAGGGTGCTCTGGACTTACATGGCTTTGACATGTAGGAAGCCTATATGCTATTTAAAGCCCAGCTTCTTGAATTATTTGCATAGTACACATACAGAATAGGTAAGGTGAAAGGATATAATACTGATGCATATTGTTATGTGCCTTTGAGTTGTCCACGACCCATAGCAATCCTATGTAAGACAGCTCTGAACCCTGTCCTATTCTCAGCCAGTCTCACTACAACACACCTAATCCCAATGCACCAGTTACTGTGTTACTCCATCCATCAGGGCTCTTCCTCTCCTGTGCTGTCCTTCCACATTTCCAACCATGATGTCCTTCTCCAAGGACTAGTCTCTCCTGGCCACATGCCAAAAAAAATGTGAGCAAAGAGCTTCAAAATCCTAGCCTCCAAGGAGAAATTTGGTTTCACCCTCTCTAAGACAGACTTATTTGTTCTCTTGGTTGTCCATGGTATGTCCAATACTGTTCTCCAGCACCACAACTCAAAGGCATCAATTCTTCTGCCATCCTTAGTCACTGTCCAGCTCTCTGAAGCATAGCAAGTATTCTCAAAGACCATGGCCTGGATTATGCAAACCTTTGTCTCTAGACTGACATCATTGCTCTTCAGCACTTTGGACTTCCTTGTGCAATTTGTCTTTTGATATCCTGACTGCTGGTGCCAAGAGTGTTTATGATCCACACTTTGCATCATCAATAAAAACTAAGTAAACTCCTAGGATTCAACAATATCCCTTGTTCCATGGCCTCTTCTGAATCCAACTTGAATTTCTGTCAGCCTTCTGTAGACGCACTGCTCCAGACATTTGTGTATAATCTTCATCAGGATTTTTACCTGTATGATGTGGATGATACTGACAATCTCCAATCTTGTTATATCACCTTTTTGGGAGAGGGAGGGTGGGAATGGGAGCAAACAGGCTTCTCTTCCATACTACTGGCTGCCTTCCAAGTTTCTTGGCATAGGCTGGTAAATACATTCAACAATATGTTTGCTGACACACTTCAATTTGGCATTCCTTCAATTCCTGATACAATAAAGCATGGACTTCTTCCTTTTGTACCACTGGTCCTCTATCATAAACTACTGAAATGGTCCAGCAACAACCAATTCTTCCTGGTCTGGGGTCCCTGTGTCTTCCTTCCACATCTTCTTTTGATGTTTCCTGCATCATTCAAGATTTTGTTCACAGAACCCTTCAATGTTGCAACTTTTAGAGTTGACACTTTCATTACTTCAGGGTTTTACACATTTTACTATAATACTTATAATGCATAACAAGTCTGATACAGGCCGTGGTCTTCGCAATCACTTGTTATGCATCAGAGAGTTGGACAGTGACGAAGGAGGACAGAAGAATTGATGCCTTTGAGCTGTGGTGCTGGAGAAGAGTATTGAGGGTACCATGGGCTGCTAGGAAAACAAACAGATTCATCCTGGAAAGGGTTAAGCCAGGAGGCCCCTTGGAGGCAAGGATTCTGAGGCTCCGTCTAACATACTTTGGACATGTTGTAAGAAGAGACCGTTCCTTGGAAAAGGACATCATGTTGGGGAGGGTGGAGGGACAGCACAGGAGGGGAAGGCCCTCTATGAGGTGGATTGATTCGGTGACTAGGGTTATCGGGATGGGAGTGTCAGAGACAGTGTGATTGGCACAGGACAGAGCGGAGTTTAGGGCTGTTGTGCATAGGGTCCCTGTGAGTCACAAGCGACTCGACGGCACATTACAACAACTCTAATACTTTGCTTTCTTGGGCAGCCCTTTGAAATCTACTGTTAATTTCTTATTTCATCATTTTGTTCTTTGCTTTAGTTTTTAGACAGTGAAGAGGAAGTTGCAGATTCTCTTCTGACTTCCATTCTGGTCTTTTCTTTGTCTCCTGTCTTTTTAATGACCTTCTACTCTCTTGATCTTTGCTGTTGGTATCAGCCCACACCTCAGGAATCGTCAGTGTTCAGTATATCAAACCTGTTCACACTATGCTCTTCAGGTAGGTTCAACTAGGATCATGGACTTGTTTAATCTGAAACTGCACATGAGCAGTTTGTTTTCGTGGTCAGTCCTGGCCCTGTGCTGAGCAATGATACGGCTTTGTACACTAGTTCCTTCCACAGACATAGTGAATTTGATTCTTTTGTAGTCCATCAGATGATGACCATCTGTTTTCTAAAAAGGGTATCTGCGGTGAATAAAGCATTGTTGGTGTAAAATTCTACATTCCATTGCCAGCCTCACCAACGCCATAGTCTCCAACTACCAGTCCTTCAGGTTTCCAACTTTTGCATTCTGGTTACCAATTACTGTGTTCTACTGAAATTCAACCAATTTCAGACTAGGCAATTTCTGCAGAGGTAGGGCAGAATCTTTCATTTCTTCCCCTTTAGCTTTAGTAGTCCTTGGAAATACTTGAATAGTTGTGCTAACAAGCACTGTTTGTAGACATATGAGAGTATCCTGTCTCAGACATCACTGTATTTCAAGATAAGGAAAGGCTCTTTTTGACAATAAATGGGACATCATATCTCTCTGATTTGTCATTCCTAGTAAGCAGATCATGTGCTTTTCTGATTCATTATGATCTCTGTGCACATGAAAACAAAAGCTGCTCCTGCTGGAGCGAGTCAGAGCCTAAAGCTGAAGCCCCCGAGGAAGATAGCCGACCACCAGAACAGAAACACCACATCCCAAAGCCAGTGAGAAAAACGTGCGCTTCAGAAGGATGAATTTTTTACATATCTAGCACAATGCTTGTCCAGTAATAGGTAAAACAATAGCTACCAATACTATTCAGCCACATCTGTGTAGGTTTACAAGAAGAGACAGCTCATCGTCCCCTACAGTGTGGCCGCTGGAATGGATCCACCACCCTTTCTAGTTAGCAGGACGACATGATGCCACTAGGGCTCCTCTGTTCCACAGAGGTACCCTCTGACTTTAATGATAAAAACGGATTCATCTGTAATATAAGAGGCTGGAAGTTTTGCTCATCTGTTAAACTCCCTTAAAATAGACATGTAGATGAAAATGATCAGTAACTTGTTAAATATTCTTAAGCAATCATGGTACCAAAGGTAACAGAACCATCACATTAGGTAAGTAAAGACAATAAAGAGCTCACTAAAGTGAACTGTCTGTAAGGCAGGGTTAAATGAATGGCTGATGCTTTGGGCTCTGCTGTCACAAAGAAAAGCATCTTCACATTATTTTTGTCTCATTTTAATGCACAGAACTATGAAAGCACTGAGGCCAGAGAGAAACCCAATTACTGAATCAGTAACCCTGAGCTCAAGCCTAGCTCTGCCATCCTTCTATATTGTTTAGCAATGTCTTTTAATTTATAATAGGTATCAGTTTGGGGTAGGAAGGAAATTAAAAGGCATACTGCCATGGGAAAGTCTGCTGTTAGGGACCTCTCCAAAGTACTGAAGAGCAATGGTATCTCTCTAGAGACTAAGGTCCATGTGATACAGGCCATGGTCTTTGCTATCACTTGTTATGCATCAGAGAGTTGGACAATGACTAGGGAGGATAGGAGGAGAATTGATGCCTTTGAGCTGTGGTGCCGGAGAAGAGTATTGAATGTACCATGGACTGCCAAGAAAACAAACAGATTCAACCTGGAAAGGGTTAAACTGGGAAGCTCCTTGGAGGCAAGGATTCTGAGGCTCCGTCTACATATTTTGGACATGTTGTAAGGGGGGGGCCGGTCCTTGGAGAAGGACATGATGCTTGGGAGGGTGGAGGGAAAGCCCTCTATGAGGTGGATGGATTCAGTCAGTGACTGGGGTAATTGGGATCGAAGTGTCAAAGACAGAGCGATTGGCACAGGATAGAGCAGGGTTTAGGGCTGTTGTACATAGGGTCGCTATGAGTCGCAAGTGTCTCGATGGCTCATAACATAAACAACATCATCATCAGTTTGGGGCACTGCAGTAGGCTCTTTAGGTACAGAGAAGAGTAGTAACTAGACATGGGGGAAGTATTTGCTGAAAAGTGCATCCCACCAAAGGAGAGAGTGCTCATCTGTTTACAGGTTGGAAAGGCTTCTGACAAACAAGGGAGACTAGGCAGGAGGGGAGAGCAGGTTCTAGGATGAAAAAGCTGTACATGGACACCCTGAGGCAGGCAGGGCATGGTGTAGTCCAAGTGCTTAGAAGCTATGCAAGGTGAGAGAAGGAACGGTGTTCAGGTTGGTGTGGAGAGGAGGCACACCAGAGACACGGAGCAAGCAGACACAGGCCCTGGTAGAAACTAGTCATCTGATCTTCAACATACTGCTGACTCTCAAGTCTCATTTCCTCAGGAGCTGAACATACAAAGTACATTCTAGTGTCAAAGAGCTCTGGTGGCCCAGTGGTTAGGAGCTACACTACAAACTCAAAGCCTCAAAGTCCCACGGTTCGAGTCCTATCAGCTGTTCTGTGGGAGAAGGATGGGCAGTCTCCTCTCAGGTGATTTACTGTCTCTGAAACTCACTGGAGGGTCAACTATGAGTTGGCGCCGACTCAATGGCACACAACAACAACACACAGCAGAACAGCCTGAACTTTGTGGAGAGGCAGGTGGGTGCTGGGCAGTGGTAGACAGGGCTGGCTCTTTCCGGGCATTGCCACAGGAAGCCACCCGTCTGGGTCTCAGATTATCCTCTGTAAGTTAGCCACCTCATGGGGTGGCTGAGAGTAAAATGAGTTAATAAATGTAAAAGAACTAGGAAAAGGGCTTGATGTCTAGTATGTGCTCAATCAAGTTTCTATTAACAATGTAACTATTAAGAAACATTCCGTTGGATATCACCCACTATTGTGTTAAATGTCATGGGTCTTACCCAACTGGAAGAACTTTTTTCCACTGTAGCCTAATAAGCCAGGGCTAAGAGCAGCCAGCTCAAACCAATTACTACTTACTATCAGGGGTGCTGATCGCGCGTTTACTTGGATGGTCCAGGGATCCACGGGACTCTTGGTGCAAGCTGTGTGCAATGCCTAGAGTAAAATAGAAAATGTAATCTGTATCAAACATCAAAGCCATCAGATAAAACATTTACAAGGTAAGCAATAAAGGTAGAATCTCAAATATCTGAAGTGATGTAGTTGGGCATGAATCATGGAAGACCTTTACCAAGATTCATGGCCTTGACTTCTGGAAATACATCACAAAGGTTATATATAGACAAGACTATCTGTATGAGGATGTTCATTATGACATTTATTTAGGAAAAAACAAGCCAACTTAAACCAACCTGAAAAACATCCAACAACAGGTTAGTAATAAAGCACAGTATTTCCACAAGATACAATGCTACATATAAAGGCACGGGCAGAAAAACTGCTTCATTCTCCCTATGTATTTGAGTACAGAAAACATAGGAAGATCTGGGAAGCAGGTTATGAAAGTGCACACTATGATCACAATTAAAATGATGATCACAGTTTCCTAAGGAACATAAAAACACATATGTGAGGAGTCAAAGACAAATATTTAACTGCTATGGATGAGCTGGACCTTTTGCACAATTATCTAGATCATTGTAACTATGCATTGTTTTAGTACTAGAACTCCAAATCTCCGATTAACATCTATTGTAGTCCTAAGGCAGTGAAAGTACTTGAACTGATGAGAATCAGGCATGCTCTGTGTTCAGTCTGTGCACTCACTCTACATCAGACTGAACACTGAGTTCCATTATTGTCTGAGGGTCAAATCACAGGCGCACCTTGGCTGCTGCTTTTGTCTGCATCTTTAGAGTTGAGAATGAAAGGCAGCATTCCTAAGCTCCGACTCCGATGTCTATTAGTTGACTCCACAGCCTTCTTGACCGAGTTCAGGATGGCAATGGTGCTGAGGGACATGGGCCTGCAGAGAACATGCCACAGAGGTTTAAGTGTAGAACTCATAACAAGGAGAGAGAACACAGTGCCATCACTCCCCGTCCGCTGTGCAGCTTCAGTGCATCAGTCGTCAAAGTCCACTTGCCCCACTGGGAGCACTCGTATCCGGAGGCCTCAGGTCCCACCCCACAGGCACATTACCTGGTTTTCGGCATTAACAATGTCCGTGGCTCAGTGTCAGATGGAGGGAGCACAGGAGACACACTGCTAACAGGGATTGAAGGACAACTCCCTCCAGGGGCCACAGCCGCGTTTTCTTGGCCAGCAGAAACTGGCATTATTTCAGAGTTTGGAACAACCTGTTAGAGAAGAAAAGAGTGTTTACTGCCTAACACTTGTTTTCTATAGAGTCTTCACATGCTATGAAGTCTGTGAGTAATCTGTTTTAAAAACATGTCAGCCCTGGGCGGGTACAGCTTTCTCTTCGGAAGCAGCACTATTGGCAGATTGCCACAAGTAGATGCTGTGGCATTATGCAAGAGAGGAGGAGTAAGGTGGCGGTCCTCATCATTTTCCTTATCACAGATCTGTCTGGATTCTGAGAGGCAGAACAACACTGTGCTTCTGAATGTGAGCAGCAGATAGGCCTAGTGTGATACCAAGGAACATACTCTAGAGGAAGGCACGCTGGCAGAAAGGCAGCAAACAAATGAAAATTCTTCTGTAGAGCTAATCATCCAGAAAACTGATCCAAGGTCAGACAACCTGACTGCCTGCTTGCTTTCAGAACATTTTCCCTGTTACTACTCCTGTGTTCCAGACAAATCCTGTAGTGTGGCCTTCTGGAAAGGCTGACCTGCCTAAATTAAGAAATTTAAGAAATGATCATAATGGTGGCAAGAAAAATGAATCACAAAGGTTTAACCACGCCTGACTTGAGATCTCTGGATTTTAAGAGATGTTGGAATGTGGGATCTAGCTTGAGTCGGGTCCTTTCTTACCTGCCCTACTGCTGCCAGGCTGGCCGCCTCAGCTGTCCTGTTCACTTCCAGCTGCTTCGTCAGCCCCTGCTCCTGAGTGAGCTGCTCATTGTACTTTTTCATGTCATATTCAAGTTCTGATGCCAGCTGTTTGTCAACTGCAAAGAAGTCCTTAATTTCATCTCGGTAATCCTGCATTACCTCCTGAAAGAGACACAATAGCATTCTTTATTTTATTCACAAAAACATCAAACTCACCAATAGAAAAGTAAATCATCTTCCTGAGGTTCAGAATAAAGATTTATTTGGCTGCTAGCAAACTATCTCTACTACATTGTCTACAAGTAGTATAATGATGTAGACCCAAGAAATATCAATTATACTTGGATTTACCATATGAGCAAGTAAGCATTAAGTGAGACATTAATTTAAAATTTGGATCTCTTAATGAGCTTCCTGCTTACCTGTGAGTTAACAGACAGTTAAGATTAAAGAATTACCATCAGACTGCTAACCCTTTTCCATCCCTGACTGTGGTTGGGTTAGAACAATGATGCCTTTAGGTGGTCTACACTGGCACCAGCATTCCAGCAGTTCAGGGCTCTTATGGTCACTCAGGCAAGCAGGCAGGGTAAGTTCAGAGGTCAGGAAGGTAAGAACGAATAGTATTGCCTGGCTCAGGCAGGGCACAAGTCAAACAGAAGACGAATCTAAAAGTTGTTGTTCATCTGTCCACTCCAGCTTTCTGCACTTACAGGCGATTTGAACTACAGCTCTGTGTATTTCAATCCATGCCTAATAATGCCAGGGAAAAGAAAATGTCCCAACTGTAAAACCAACAAACAGAAGGCTAGAAATCCACTAATTCTCTAGAACGGGATTTACTGTAGCTGTTTCACTAGTTTATTTTAAAGGACGAGGAATCCTTTTATAATTGGAGAAAAAGCCCAACATGGAAAATACTCCATTGAGTTAAAGGAAGCAAAGTAACACTGCTTTTATTTCTAATTGAAGATGTTGGATAGAAGGTCTGAACAGACTGAGCCTTGGGTGGCCCTAAGCATCAGAGACCAGCCTTCTAACGGCAGCTGGTTTTCTAGATGTATTTCCCTAAAGCATGCTGTTATAGGGCTATACTATTCTGATCTCGTAATCTGAAAAAGTGTTAACCAATTTTCACTTTATTCCACACCAAAAGGAGCTATGATAACTCTGCTCTTGATCCCAGACTGGGGAAATACTCAACACTGAGCCAATCTATTTCACGTTCTGTACATGAGGCAGCTTTTCACAATCACAACTGCATAAAGAAGGGGAGAATCAATGTTAGTGAAACTTTCCACCTTCTCCCAAAGAGCTAAAAATCTGCTAGAAAAAAAAAAGGTTTCCCTGCTGAAGGGACAAAAACAACAGAAGAGATTGAACAGAGTCAGTGAGCTGGAAGACAAGAACCTCAAAGGGAAAATACTAGGAGAAAAATCAGAGAGGAGACAGAGGGAAAATGAAGAATCATGTGAGATTAACATCAAAAGAAACAACATATGCATGATAGAATTCCAGAACATGGGAGAGGCAAGGAAAGCAGTGAGAAAAGGTAGAAAGCTGTGGAAAGGGAACTAGAAGAACAAGGAAATTCACATTCAAGAAGTTCAGCATGTACCAAACAGATTAGACA